ATTTTATTTATTTATTTATTTGACAGAGAGAAAGAGAGATAGCAAGAGCAGGAACACAGTAGGGGGAATGGGAGAGGGAGAAGCAGGCTCCCCGCTGAGCAGGGAGCCCAATTTGGGGCTCGATCCCAGGACCCTGGGATCATGAGCTGAGCCAAAGGCAGATGCTTAACAACTGAGCCATCCAGGTGACCCCCCACTTTTTTTTTTAGCATACTAGAAAACTTTTTATGAGTTTATTTAGATTTAGATTTTAATTTAGATTTTCAGAGACTTAAGTTTGATGGAAAATATGCTGAGGTATAAATTAACATCAATTTACTTTTGATATTTAATATTGTGCTGCAAATTAAATTGGGTTGAACATATGATAGCAAGACATTATTATCAAGTATAGTTTATTTTATTAAATGTTGAAAAATCTTTGAGGAAATTTTGAAAAATACATATTCGTTTCTATTTGCTTTTTGCCTCCATTAGAGTTTTTTCTTTGTTTATAATTATTTGTGAAGCTTTACTTACAGTCTTTAAAAAACAGAACCAACTTTGTTTCCATGACAGCACAGTCATCAGATAGAAAAGGGAAAAAAATGGGACTATGCTATCTATTAATAGAAAACATCTCCTTAGCTGTTTAGGCACAGACAGTTCGCTAGAAAGAAATGTAATAATTTTTTGTGTTAAATGTCATTCTTCAGATTTGATGCATCAAGGCCTCTCTCACCGTGTGCTCTAGATAGACTTTGGCGGGGTTCATCTGCAGCCACTGTACAACCTCTGCTTTGCCGGGTGAGACTGAGTGGCCCGTGGAACGGAGCGGGCCCGCAAGTGACACAGCACTCTGAGCACATACCCCGGCTTGTCGCCCTTGCTCCCCTTCCCTCCGCCCACCAGGCAACTCTCCTTACTGCTGTTCCCAGCCTTTTCCTCCCTCTCTTTTCTTCTTTCCCCTCACTCTTTGTTCTTCTCTTCTTCTCTTCTTCTGTCTTCTTCATCCCCCCCTAAAGTCCCCATTCTTCCTTCTCCTTCTTTCCCTTGCCCTTTGCCTTCTATCCCAGACTTGCAGGCTCGGCTCTTCCTCCGCCTGTCTTGTCAGGGAGAATCTAGGGGGCAGGCAGGACTGGAGGGAGACATGTGGAAAACCCCAGCAGGCTGGTGACCGCTCTCCCTTCAAACCCAGATTCTAGATTGGTTCCGTACTTACTTTGGGCTTGGCTGAGGCTTTTAGGGAACAATGGCACTATGGCTCCTTTCCTCTCCTTTATCAGGCAATTCAGCCCTGGTTCCAAACCTGCACTCCCCACCCCCCATTTGTTAAAACAAAAGTGCCACAGTAAATTGTCCTCCTCAAACAGGACTGTGACATGAGTTCTTATCAATTCAATTTTCCTCATTTCATGACGTTTCCAGAGATATTGTGGAAATGTCAGGATAGACTATGTCGCAGGCAGCAGCTGCCCAGACTTGCCTACCCCTTCACCAGGCTATCTTTAGGGCGGGGTCCACTCACCAGTGCTCCCTCTTCTTGGTCACAGAAAGCCCCTCTCACTGCACTGCCACAGGCCCCAACCCTTCCCTTTGCTAGAGTTTCTGCCCCCCAAGGTCCCCCTTCCTCCTGCTCTCCCCAGTCCCTGCTGTTTCTTGTCTCTGCTCCCTGACGCTCTCTCACACTTCCTGCCACCATGTGAGCCTATGTATCTCCTAATGGATTCAGGGCACCTTCTCAGAACAGGCTGAGTAAATCCCTAGGCTATAAATAATACATGGTTTTCAGTATAACGAACTACTGCTTTCACCTTTCTTGACCTCTGGAGAGCTGTTAAAAGGAACTATTTCTCATTCAGGTCATAGGCAACTTTGAAGTCATTTCCATAAAGTAATAAGATTAAAGTATTTACTAATACTGGTATATGGACTATGCCAATATTATTAAAGTATGTATTTAAGATAATATATAAAAAATAAAAAGTCATACATGGATTACAATTAGGTAACAATATATATTTCTATCCTAAAAAAAGTAGAAGTAAATTTGGAATGACATAAATGGAGCAAGTAAATTGCTGAAATGCTGTTAAAGAAATGAATCTGAATATATACATTTAAACGAGTCTTGTCTATTTTGTAATTGACTTGTTTGTCAATGATGCCATTACATCATCAGCTTAAAATATTTTCAGAATTCCTCTTCTAAAATTGTCTTCAGAGCCATGTGGTATACACTGAAGAAAATCAGACTCTATTTTAGTCATTTTCAAATTTATTTTTATTATCATTACCATTATTATTACCAAAACCAAAAATAGTTCTAGCTACCACGATCACCCACTTTACCCACTAATCTGAATGTCAAAAGTTTTGCGCTGTTTCCAAAACTTTTATCTGCCCTCGAAGGATAAAGCTTGGCCATTACTGAAAAATAACATGTCATAGACAATGATACCAGTTTCAAAATATATTAAATAATGGCAGGAACATAAGAATAAGTAAATGATTTTCTAAGACAGAAACCTTTAAGGTGACATCATTCATTGGATGTAGAAGTTCTAGTATGTTAGTTTGCAAATTAGCTACATTATTTTCTAATATGCTTTCTGAACAGCTTTTTGATGGTCCAACTCAGAAACAGGAAGTAGAATGGTGGTTGCCAGGGGCTGAGGGGAAGGGAGAAATGGAGCATTGTTGTTTAACACCTATTAGTTGAACAATAGTGTGAATATATTTAACACTATTGAACTGTACACTAAAAAATGGTTAAGATGGTAATTTTATGTTATTTTACAACAATTAAAAAATTTTTAATATAAAACTAAGATTAAATTCATTTCCTATTTAGTAACAGAGTAGTTAATAAGCTTATAAGACTATAGATGATTATGAAAAAACCACAATTCATTTATTAGTAATTTGTTTCACTGGATGGGACTTTACAATTACACTGAGAAAGTACTGTGATGTCCTTCATATGCAAAGATGTCATTCTCCAGCTCCCTTCACTACCCACTTCCTTCCCTGCCCCCCCCCCCCCCCCCCCCCCCCCGCAGGTAAACTCTGATCCTCCTTCCCTGTAACCTTCCAGAGGTATTCAGTGCATATGCATCTTATACCCTTTGTTTTTAACATAAATGAAAGCATGCTTTGCAGAGAATACTACATGTTCCTTTTTTCACTTATATATTGCAATTCATTCTGTATGAGTTTGTGACAAGTATTTTGAGTTGTTTTTTCCAACTAACAGGCCTGACAGAATGCATTACTGATGCTCTTATGATTTGCATCACAGTTGGTTATGTTCAGGCCTATGGAATAGCCTTTTCTGTTTTTTAAAATTAAACTGCCTCCTCAGAGGCCAACTGACTTTAACTAAATGCTAAAACTAAATGACCTAGCTGATTCAGAAAAAAAAAAATTACCTTAAAAGTAGCAAAGGCATCTGAAGCAATATCAAATGTTGACAACTCCACATACTTAAAGAAGTCTCGGAACTGATTAGAAAAGAGGATGGTTTTGGCAAGTGGTTCGTGTCGAATACATTCTCTCAGCATAATCCCACAACGTAAGGCGATCTGTGGGGCTTCATATCTAAAGCATAAACAAGAGAGAAATAGAGAACACTGTTATCCTATTAACAAAATAATATTAATGGCATCAAAAGAACCATTTCAATACTGCTATTAAAGGAAGCATACATACCATTTGTCACAGTTCATTCAAACACCATTCATTCAATACCTACTTGAGTATCTAAGATGTGCCTGGCACTATTCCAGACGCTGAGGACATAATGGTAAGCACAACAGGTCACTGCCTTCCTGGAGTTCCTATTTTTTAGTGGGAATACTATTTAATGGGGTAAGAGACAAATTATAAACAATGAAAAGAAATTTCATATTCTGAGAAGTGCTATTAAACTGAAGACATTAAAATATTTATACTACAGAGTGTGACTACTTAATTTACTTTCATTTAGACCGAGGGGTCAGGGAAGGAGCAAAGCATTCCAGGCAAAGGGAACTAACTGCAAAGGCTCCAAGGCAAGAACCAGCTTGGTGAGTGAGAGAGAAGGCCAGTGTGGCTAGAACGCAGGGGAAGAGTAATGAACGGTGTGAAATGAGGCAACAGTGGAGACGGCAGGGGCCAGATCACATACAGCTACATAAGCTAAGCTAAGGAGTGTGGTTTTAAAGTGTGGTAGGAAGCCTTTGGAGAGTTTAAAGCAAGAAATTAACATGGCCTAACATATGCTTTAAAAAGATCACTCTGGGCATCTGTGGAGAATCTATTATAAAACAAGAGAAAAAATGGGGACACCTGGGTGGCTCGGTTGGTTAAGGATCTGACTCTTGATTTTGGCTCAGATCTCAGGGTTGTGAGATGGAGCCCTCATGGGGCTCCACGCTGCGCAGGGAGCCTGCTTAAGATTCTCTCTCTCCCCCTCCCTCTGCCCCTCCCCCCTTCTCCTGTGCACTCTCTCTCTCTTAAAAAAAACAAAAACAAAAACCAGAAAAATGAGCTGGAAAGTTAGAATGAGAGCAGGGGGACCGGGTAGGAGGAGGAGAAGCCCAGCCGGAGATGATGGTGGCCTGACTGAGGTGGTAGTAGTACATTAGCGGACTGTGGGCAGATCGTGCAGATTGTCTGGAGGAAGAGTCAACAGGCCTTGCTAACGACATAGCTGGCGTAGGGTGGGGAACAAATCTGGAGTGAGGGAAATTGAGGACTCAAGGATTCCCATATTTTTGGCCTGAATAATTGGGTAGATGGTGGTGCCAATTTTTAAGATGAGTAAAACTAGTAGTAGATGAACAGATCAGTGAAGAAATTAAAAGTTTGTTTCTGACCATGTTAACTTTGAGATGCCTAATGTCTAAGTAGAGATGTCTCCTTGAAAGTAGAATATATCTATCTGGGGTTCAGGAAAAAGATAAGGATAAGGATAGATATGACATGCACATATATACAATTTGTATATAAAAGATGACCAATAATAAAGAGCTGCGTATTGAATGACTCACTGAAATCATGAATTACAGCTCGAAACAAAAACTGCACTAGAAAAATACAATGTTTACTATAGGAAACAATTCAGGACTGGCACATTACATCTGTTCCATTCCTAATTTAATAACAATGCCTCAAGTGTCAAATTCAACACTGAGGGGCGCCTGCGTGGCTCAGTCGTTAAGCGTCTGCCTTCGGCTCAGGTCATGATCCCAGGGTCCTGGGAT